GTTCCGGGAGCCCGGCATGTATAGAGGGGAGGAGGGGCAGAGAGGCTGCTTTTGTCTGTTCGGCAGCCTGTTGCTCAGGGGAGGGGGCAGCGGGCGTGGGGAGGCGCTTTTCCTCTGCCCGGCAGCTCTGCGGGACCCCAGTCGGAGCCGGCCCGAGGAGGAGGAGGATCCTAGGACCCAGGTGAGCGAGCCCCGGGAATGCTGCTGCGCATGTGCAGGAGTTGCCTCACCCCGTTCGTATCTAGGGATCCGACATAAGTTGGATCCACGTAAATCGGGGACTGCCTGTATAGTCTATTCTATGTGTGCCTCCACCGACTCAGCTTTAAAAACAGACTGCATTTGAATGAGGTTTTAAGCCAGTAATGTACCAAGACTGTATACTGTACAATGTACTGGCTGACATGGAGGATTGGAAATGAGCCTTAAAACCATTCTCCCCCAGTTGGCCTCTGTGTAATGAGTTGGAAGGAGAAAGTGAAAACACCAGCCTCACATCTGGTTTGACTGTGGACACTCAGCCAAGGCCAAGGATTGAATGGATTATTCATAACTGAACTCAACTCTAAAAGTGGCCTCAAACCACTCCAGAGACGTGAGATGCAAGAAGAGAGACAGCATAGGGAAACTGGGCACTTCAGCTGCCTGCTCTCAAGAAAGTCGTGTTCCAGCCTCTAGGCTCAGTGTGTACCACCTTTCACATAAGCATTACATTCATTCAAACTCGTACAGCAGTTTTCATTGCTACTTACTTGATCTGTTCAGCAGAGCCTCCAGATGTTGCATTTGTTATTGCCCAAGCAGCTTCTTTCCTTGTCCGAAATTCAGCTGTTTGCAAAATATTTATGAGGGCTGGGAAAATGTGGGCATCTATGACAGTCTGCAAAAGGAAATGTTCAGAGTATCAACTACAAATAGAAATACAGTTTCTTGCCATGATTTGTTTACTTCCAAACCTCAGTACAATGTAGTAAAGTAAGATGCCTCCTTAGGGCGTCCATCAGCAATCTTTAGCTTTATAGTCATAACCCGCTTTATTGTTCCAATAGATGTTCATTCTATCAGCTTTTCAAAACCAATGCAACTGAAAATAACTATATTAGCTTCTCTCTCAATGAATCAGGCCTTATTAGCGATGGGATTTTGTATTTTACATTATTTTTCAAGGTGGCAAGCCATTCAATTTTAACATCACTATACCAAAAACATACAGCAGAAAGATTAATCAATCTCTGAGTCACACAAAACTCAGCCTTAGCTGTGACTTTTCTGTCTGGAACCCTTCATATCAGAAAGGCTTTCCAGTGGAAATATTTCCCATCCCTACTGCAGCTGGAGGCAGACCAGATTTTTAGCTCTGACCATGGGCTTAGGAGTGTCCCTCAGGAAGAACTCTCTCGAAGGATCTCTTTCAAAGAAGAAAATAGTAACCACATACAAGTTATAAAATCCTGTTCAACTGAAGCCATTTGTTGTATGGCCTTGATAATATATTTAAGTATTTCCCTCTAGAAATACATATTTCCCTTTCAAAACTATTTAACAAGTGAGCAATAATCAGATAAACAGAAGACATAATGCAGTCCTGCAAGGGAGGCTGAGAAAAGATTCCAGAAAGAAAATTCACAAAGAAAGACTAATATTTTTCATTCTCCGTCCCTGTCACATCAGACAATCTTCATAGTAGATGTCAGAAACCAGTAACATCATACTTTTGGGATAAGCAGGAGAGATTTAACGTAACCATGCAGAAAAAGAAAAGGAACTTAAAGGCACCACATTCCACAACACCCTACTACCAATCCCTGCATCTGTAAAGGAGATTTTGAGCATTTTGGGGAAATGGGGATCTCCTTGTAAGATCTCTA